GGGGGTGGGGGGTGCTGTGTTCTGTGTTTTACCCTCCCTGTGTGTTCTAGAATAGAATCCTTTGTGGCCTTTAATATGGAGCCAGCCGTGGTGTCTCTGATTTAATTCTTTTGGCTATTTCTAAACTTGTATTAAAACAGCCCATCTGTGACACCAGTGAGCACAGACGGGTATCCGTGGATACAGACACTGAAGGAAGAGCACGCCTCCTGAGAGAAAGTTGTCCCTGGTTTCTCTAGTTCATCCTTTGGATAGAAAAGGGAAGTGAATGCTGAAAAATCCCTGTTCTTACTAAGAAACCTCAGTAAGTGTGAATCCCTCCCCATAGGTGGGACATTCTGCAAAGAATTCTCTGGGAAGTCACAGTGGATTTCCCTGGGCATTCCCTGTTTTCAGCCATATCCAGGAGCGGGATCTTCTGGGGAAGAAACGGGGATTTCCTTCCTCATCCTCTGGAAATAGCAAAAGATGTGTATCCTGTTGTTACTCCATTTGCTGTCCACAAACACTGTTAACTACAGAAAATTTTTCCTATTGCACAAATAATTTTTTTTGTTTTCCTCTGGTTGCTGAAGGCAGGCAAACAGTTTGTTTTGAAGCTGGTAAATTTTCATGACAGTTCTTATGTGCTTTCATTCTGTCATTCCTTGAGGTATCTGTTTCCCTTCTGTCTCTTCTGAAATGTAGCTATTGGTAAAAGTTTATAGAGTTTATATTCTCTTTCTCTGCCACTACAAATGTTTCCTGGCCTTTGCAGTGATTGAATGACTTGCAAGTTGCTTTGGGGAGCTCCAGCTGGATTCGTGCTGGATACGTTTAAAGACTTGGGAATATGGTTTGAATTACTTGAAACAAGAATGATGTATTATCATTCACACATTTTCCTGAGAGGCTAGTTGAGGGAAAATACTGAAAAATGACAACCATCCAGCCATGCTTGTAGGGTGGTCCAATATTATTCCCTAATTCATTCAGGCAATAGACAAAGATTTAAAGTGCTTTCTTTGCAATACTAAAAAAATCACAAAACCAGTATAAAAAATATTGACTTTTCCCCATTAGAGAGAAGAATATCTACCCTAGTCCCTAACTGTTATAAACCAAGGGGACTATTGCCAAAACTTTATAGCTTGGACGTAAATGGAATATTACCTTTCGAGCAACAGCAGCTTAGACCTGTTAAAACCACACACACAGAAATGCCTTCACCATGCAGGGGTGAACCCGCTGGAGCTTGCAGTTCCCCATAGCTCACTTCAGCCAGAGCTATGCCTACTTTCCTATCACCTTCTTTCCCGGGGTGAAAAATTGTTTCCTTATGGCAGAGCAGGGACTCCGGAGTGGTCCTCAGGCTTCATACTACCACCGTCTATTTCTGTGGGACAGCCTTCAGCATCTGAGCTCCTTACTTGGGCTGTCGCTTATCTCACCCTTCTCCCCTCCCTGAAAAGGTGCAAAGAATCAATTTGGGAAGGATGGGATTTTTAGAGATGACAAACATGAAAAGACACTGAAAGATAAGTAAGAAAGTATGAGAGTTTTGACTTACTGGAAAAGACCAAAGGACATAACCACTGCCCCATTTCCAAATATCTCAAGAAAGACAAATCTTTGAGAAACTTAGACCCTTATTCTCCCTAGCTATGAATTCAAGTGGAACTTGAATTCATGGTTATTACTCAATTCCAGCTATTATTTGAATGGCAACATGTGGTGGCAGTATCTGCCAAGCTTCCTGATCCTTTCTAAAGTTGAAATAACATTGGGATTCAGTGCTGTAAATCTGTTCCTAAAGAAGGGTACAGGTAAAGGGACAGTATCTGGAGAAAATGAGGAGTTGCTACAGCTTTGAACTGCTTATTTGAGTCCCTGGGATGAACAGAGCTCTAAACTGAAATCTGTATTCAGCATTAAATACTATATGCATCTTATTCAGTTATCTTCAGTCTCTCTAGTTTGCGTGTTCTGGGCAATGAGTAGAGGGACTTTCCTAATATCTGGTTTCTCCTCAGCCTTGTGTCCAAATGCAACTTTGAAGGGAGATGGAGTGAAGCTGCAGCAGTTCCTTGGCCTGTTTGTGCACTGTGTTGTCCCTCTTTGCTCAAGCCAGAGATAACAGTAGGTTGGAGAAGGGGGTGAGTTTAAACTGTTAACAAAGAACAAACTACCTGGCTCTCTCCTCCTGACTTGTCCGTGCATCTGTTTGCTCATTGCTTATTTCCTTGTGTGTGGTTGCATAGTTTTCTTTGAGTTGCAGACTTCTGGTGTTAAAAGGGGCAACGGATGGAGAAAGCAAGATTATCAAAGTACATCAGGTTTTCTACAAGAAAACTGAAGTCAGCATTGCCAAAAAAGCTTCTAACAGTAACATCTACAAACATCCTGAGCTGACAGACTAAACAGCGCTCTTGTGGCTGAGCAAGAAGCCTGGAGGTCTCTGCCAAAGGCAACGTAAGAGGGGAGTGTTGGCAGAGTCACCCTGTGAAAAAATAGAGGTGGGCAGTATGTAAGAGAAGGCTGAACTATTTTCATACTGAACCTGGCTAATTCCTTTTCTTACATGAAATTAAGACCAAGACAAAAGGGGGAAAAAAAATGAGGTATTAGTGAGGCTTTGCATAAGGAAAAATGACCTATCTCTCAGCTCGCTCCACAGCAGGGAACAGTCTAACAGCAGTGTTCTCAAAATGGCTCACGATGCCTAAGGTTTAGGGATGAAGTTGTGTGTTGTTTATTTGGAAGTCAAAGAGCAAATTTACCTGAAATGGGAATATTGCTGTATGCAGTAGGCCCTAGTATGTAGAGCAGAGCTTTTTCACATGCAGTATGTCAATATTGGCTGTCTCTACTGGAGTGTTTGGATGAAGGCACCACTGAATAGACTGATTAATGCTGCAGTTTTTCTTGAGCTTTGATGGCTGGTTGGATTCAGGCCTCAGCATGTACCAAAATTGCAACTTTTTTTGTCAACTTTGTGATACTGCAGCATAACACAATGATACAGCATTAAGTCCTCATGATATAAGGTCTCTTTCCTGGAAGACTGCAAATGAGAAACTTTCCTTGCACTCTTCTCCCCGTGTCTGAAGTTGCCTGTACCACATCAAAATAATAGATTACAGTGCAGCTTCTAATGGTTGATATAAGAAGAATCCCTTATTCTTTCATTTTATATCAAAATGAAGAGTTTGGTTAACTTAGCTTTATGTAATTTGCATGCCCAGATTCTCTTGTACTCGATGGAACTTGACGCAGAAGATGGAGGAGCCTCACCTTGCTGTTCTGCTGCCCCTGGGAACAGCTTGTTTCTCAAAGGAGCATGTCAGCTCTAGCTGGAGAACTTCCTTTGCAGCATACACATTGAAGCTGAGACATTTCCAGGCATTACAGACTGGAGAGAAGAGTTATGCAAAATCATAAGCCTCTGTAATTGATGCATTTCAGATGGCCAAATGTCCAGTGCCATAACCAAAGCTGAAAGTTTACTGACAAACACCTTTGTGAAAAGCCTTATGTACTCTTAGAACTGTTGCTGTCAGCTCATGGTTCAACACGAGCAGGAAGCACCACAACAGTGTAGCTGTGCAAGATACCTCCTTGTGATGCAGCACAGATTAAACCTACTGTTAACCCCTCTTCGATTTAAGATAAAGATTTAGGGATTGAAGAGAACCTGTCTGGGCATTTTGTGCCATGAACTAAAAAGGACTTGGGTGTATCAAGTGAGACTTAGGCACTTATGTTTTGCCAAAGACCCCTTGCTGCTTCGTCTTGAAGGTAGACGAACTGCAGAAATCCCCAAGCATTTTATTTTGCCAAACATCTGGAAATTATTCTCTGCTCATATCCACAAATGTCTCGGCGGGACAGGAACATGCTGCTCAGCTCTAAGCTCGACTGAGATCCTGAAACTTAGCATTCCTTTTGTCAGGTTCCTTAAGGAGCTTGGCCTGGAAATAGGTATGAAAGAAAATGCAAGGAATGACTGCTGCTTTCCTTACTGATAAGGCTGGTGTCGTTCTGGTGTTGGTTTTTTTTTGCTTTACAAAAATAAAATAAAGGTAGGAGCGCTCAGGGAAGACAGAGGAGACCCAGATTGAAATTCCTTCTCTCTCTAGAAGATTGTTGCTTTCAAAAGCATCTGACAAGCTGTTCCTGGTTCAGAGAAACCTTCTCTGCTTATCTTTCCAACATGCATCACAGCTGCAAAGAATTGAGGAAATTTGGAGAAAAGAAAGGAAGGAGAGATGGATATTGTGCTGGCTGGTTCTGGCAGGAAGCAGTGCCTTGCTTGAGGTTCTTTGAAAGAAAATACATCCAGTCTCCCAGGCTGTTGTCTTGACTGGGCAGAGGGTGTGCTCCGTGTCAATGGTCTCCTAAGGTCTGGAGGTTAAGGCATTGCCTGGGTATTTGCTCTATACAGATAGATGTGAATATTCAGAATT